TGGTTTATCCCCATTACCCTGGTGAGAGTGCCATTCGTTAGAAGCCCGAACTGATCAGTCAGAAATCCCCTTTCCGGGAACTCTTTTCCCCACTATAAATGAGAAATACATTTTTGAACTAATAAATCGTACTCACGAAACGGTAAAACGCACATGCAAGAATAATATATATTTGGCTTGTTCCTTTTCGGGGTTCACAAATGAATATTTAATCATTCAAGCATCGGGGCGTCGTGATTTGCCCGGATCATTTCATTGTATTAATCCCATTTTATAACGGTTTCGCCCATTTGTCTCTCATTGACGTCACGGTGTTCCAGATGTGTTGAATAAAGCTATAAAATATTCCTAAATGAGTAAGTGAGTTAATTTGGTTAAATGCCTCCTTGAACAGTATGCCACCACGGGGTGTCAGCTTGATGTGGGAGGAAAAGTCCCAAGTGATGTTGGTATCAGACTTTTGCCACTTTGGTAAAAGCCACGAGCACGGGTAAGGTGCTGGAAAAGCAAGAAACATAGTCAGGGATAATCTGGAATTCGAACCCATGATCATAGGCTTCCGGCATGTTTATGTATGGAGCAGCTCTGCACAGCGAATTGAGGTACGTGAAATAACTGGTATTTTGACACATAAACATACATGTCGCTTTAATATCTATCCATGCCATTCAGCATCACCATCCAATCTGTTTCTATATTATTCAGATATTAAGCATACTGATTCAAACTTATTTGCTACCAATGGAAAGTAACCATCCTAAAAGCAATGAACCAGACGTGTAAGGTTGGGCACGGTGCGAGCTCTCATGAACACCAGGTGTCCCTCAATGTATCTTCAGTGTAAAATCCCAATCTTCTGTTTGTTGTCGAATGTCGAAAATCAGCAATATTTTAGCTCGATCGCTGTGGCCTGGAAATAATCGAGGTTGTGTCGGACAAACCATGGGTTGAGTAGCACCTCACGCCGTCGGGTGCGATGCCATACAATCAACCAAGTCACCTGACCACACCATCCAATTAAATCGTCTCTTAAAACAAGTGCTTGGGATCTATTCTTACCCGGGTCCCCTCGTGGTCCTAATCTTATGACAGCTATACCAAAACAAATAACCTCCAATGCACTTTAACCAGTCGTTTATAGGTTGAAACATCAACAAAAACAATAGTTTGAACAAGATTTATTTTGTTCCAACAACCAATATATTGTGTACCAATACATATCACGTTTTAATGATAGGCCATTGTTATATAGATGTCAAGTAAAGCATGTCAGTAGTACTCTGTATCCACACCCCCGCGTGAGAATACAGATAAATGCACGAAGCTAAACATCACACGTGAAACCGTCTCGAACACCATACGCTAATGTGTATATATTTACACATGTGCTGTATTTCTCAACGAACACATTTTTCCCGAACGCGACACAACCGTCTCTAGACATAACATGCACGAGACCTTGCATACAGATACCAGGCCTGAATCAGCTGTTTGACTCTCTCGGGGACACAATCTGTTTTCTTTTGAAATCTGAACTTTCGCTTCAGGACAATCAGGTACAGTTTAAGCCGAAACATAAAAGAAATCTCGCGTTCGTTATTCTTAATCCAGGCAAGAGTGATGTTTGTGATCTTTATTCTTTTCTTTAATTTATGTTCATAGTATGTATTCCATAGGGAAGGTATATTTGAATTATGGACGAGGGCTAAGTGTCCTGTATGGTAATTGCTGCTTGTAGCTTTGATGGCGACGATTTCATCCTCAATGCAGGTCAAACAGTCGCCAAAAGTTAAGCACTCCAAAAAGTTTTTCGATTTCGTTAATCTTTTCATGAACTTTTCACTCTGATCGGATCTAGGTTTCTTTGACTTACTGCAACCCACCGAGTCCGTATCGCCAGTATGCGTTGGCTATGAATCCTCAGTGGTTGAGGACGCTCTATGCAATGAGAAACTTCGTTTCAGGGAGTTGATTTTCTTAGGCGCTGACTGGGATTTACTGACTGAGGGAGCATCGGTTGTGTCAGTTCTGGAAAATACCGGCTTGTGTTGTCTTGGTTTGACGGACTCGGACACTACTTCAGTGAGGATGATGTCGCCCGTGGATGAGATCTCAGGAGTCTTACATTTCTTTTTGTCCACACATACACTTTGGGCAGTGGTCGTGTCTAGAGTATCAGTATCTTCCCCATCGACGTGAACATCCGACACCTCTGCAACGTCAGCGGCCTTATCACAGGTTCCTGATGACAACAACGATGTTGTGGGGAATACTGGCTTGTGTTGTTCAGTTTTGATTGCCTCGGACACAGGTTCAGGTGTGATGGCGTCTCCCGTCGACGAGATGCGATCCGGAGCGATCCGAAGCTGTGTGTGTTCAGGGGTTTCATCTTGCTTGTGCTCGGTTTTCTCTTTGGTTACCAATGACAACACCGATGTTGTTGTGGTAGCTTCTTTATCACATTTAACTGCACATTCATCGTCGATGATGATGACGTGGTCTGTGGTCTGCTGAACGTCGGCGTCAAGCACGATGACATCTCCATCAGGCTGATGTTGAACATCGGGGCAAAGACCGTTATCTATCAGAGGGTCGTCGGAGTCGATTACAATTACCTCAACTGGAAGACTTGAATCACTTTTCGAAACGCTGGGAATAACATCACTTACTTTCTTCCTTTTCCTTAACGTGTCTGCTTCTGGTTGCGACGATAATTTGGTCGTTTGTCTCACTTTTGATTGTGTTTCCGTTGATGTCGGGAAATACTGGTTGGCTTTCGATTTATCGAATGTCAAGGTAATGGAAGCCCGACTTTGTCCTTCTAGGACTGACCATGTAGTGAGTTTGTTCTGTGTCAGCCTGGCGAGATTCCACACAGTATCCGGCGGTAGACACAAGTCCTGTCTCTGTTTGATGTCGCCCATGTCTTCGCCCTGTCACAACGCCGTGTACACCAAAACTACCTGAAATTGTAATCAGGTGGCAATGGTATTGAGTGAAGCTTATCGCTTGACAGCGCGGCACGTGTTTCACGCACAGAGAGGAGGGTTCAGCTGAACACAATTTGACGCTTCTACAACAAAATATTATTATTCCTCCGAGTGAAGGACATTGATTGGTTGCTGGTTTTAAAACCTTTTACTAACAATGGTCGACTGAAATTAAATATGAAAGACAATGATGCAGTGGTATGTATTTATATAAGGTAGAACATTCGGAGTAAAACAGAAAATCCCATAGAGTCAAGGTAATAGAAGTTAGGAGTGAGGTGGTGATGTGAGGTGAAATGGGGTTTATTGCACTTTATATATATAGCGACGTGCATGCAGGTGTGTGTGTGTGTGGCTGCTTGTACTAGTCCGGACCGATGCCGATTTATAGAGCTAGCACACTGAGATACCATGCCGCAGTTTAACATGAATACCCCACTCAGACACAGTATACTGACTCCGAGCCGACCAGTCCTTGTTTTAGCCCCTTAATGCCGAGCGCCAGACAGGGTAACAACAAGAACCATCTTTTAACGTCTTTTGGTATGACGCGGGCAGGGATCGAACCCCGGACCTTCCTCTCTCCGGGCGGACGCTCTACCATTAGACCACTGAGGAGGTCTAGGTAATAGAAGTAAACGCGATGATTGCACATAGCCTGGGAGTTCAATATAGACTCCCCGACACAGCACAAAACAGTTGACATTGTTAAACATGAACTGTATTTCGTTTATGTTAACTGCGTGTCACATGTTGGAGCAAAACATGAAGTGACGCAGGTCGTGGACGTTACCACTTTCATGAAAACCACGAGCAGGGATATGTTGCCTACGAACCAGGGAACATTATCAAGGCAATTATGGGATTCAAACCCCCATTCACGAATTTCTAATTCGCAACTATGCAAAGGCAATAGCGGTGACGGAGACAACTAGTCTTCCATTCTTTTTCTTTAATTTCTATCCAAAAGGAGTGACCCGTGAAGATCCGGGGTAGAATAGGTCTTCAGCAACCCATGCTTGCCGTGAAAGGCGACTATGCTTGTCCTAAGAGGCGACTAACAGGATCGGGTGGTCAGGATCGCTGACTCGGTTGATCCATGTCATCGTATCACAACTGCGTGGATTGATGATCCCGAAGTCAATCACTGGACTTTCTAATCCAGACTCGATGATTCACAGACCGCCATCATATAGCTGGAACGTTCCCAAATGCGACATTAAACAATAAACAAACAAAATCATACCTAAAAACATTAAAAGAAGGTACTTTTTGTTCCTCTGTCTGCTGCTCGACATTGTGGGGATAAAACAGGGACTGGGTCGGCTCAGACTCACTATCGGACTGGGGTGAGGATGTTAAATTGTGCATATCTCAGTGGGCTAGCACTATGAAACCGACATTAGTCCATTCATCATGCACACACATGGGCATGACCCCTGAAGATTCCGGGGTAGAATAGGTCTTCAGCAACCCATACTTGCCGTAAAAGGCGACTAATGGGATCGGGTGGTCAGGCTCGCTGACTTGGTTGATGCATGTCATCGATCCCAATTGTGTGGATCGATGCTCATGATATTAATCACTGGGTTGTCTGGTCCAGACTCGATTATTTACAGACCGCCGTCATATAGCTGGAATATTGCAGAGTGCGGCAACAAACAAACCAACAACAACATATGGACATATTCTGAAGAAATGTCATTTAAACCTTTGCTGTCATTCTGGACTTCACAACACTGGGATTCCTGTTGAGAACACAAGTCCCAGCAACTTAAGTGGTGACTAAATGGACTAGGAGGTCAGGCTAGGTGACTTGCTTGATTGCATTTCATCCTATCCCAACTGCGTGGACTGATGCCCCTGATGTCAATCACTGGATTTTCTGGTCCCGACTCGTCAATATTTACACACAGCCATCATATAGCAGCTGGCATATTGCCGAGTGTGTTGTTAAAACATCAAACTAACACATCACTCTGCAATATATGACAAAGAAGGTATTCATGGTACCGGTTCAAACAATTTATTCCCTTTGTGTTACAAAGATCAATGTTCATTCAATTCAGTTTCACACTCCGCACTATGTCACACACATACAGACAGCTACATCCCACCTCACCATTGAGGTCATCACGCCCATAGCACCGTCAGCTCAACTTGATACTGTAAAAGAACTTGGAAACAAATCTCTACTTGTAACATTACTTGGATGATGAGTGCACCAAGCCAGACACAATTAAGATGACAGAAATACCTAACCACTTGCAGTAAAACAATACAATAAGTCATAACAAACATACATCATAAACAAGCTGCACAAACATTTAAGACTGTCTCAATGGCTGTCATTGAGGCCATTTTGGAACTTGTTTGAGAATTTGTTCAGCATCATAAGCTCTTTACCAGAAAACAAGGGACATAATATAATGTCTTTTGACACAGAGAGTGTGGTTTAAGTCCAGTAATAATACCATGGCAGGGGACCGCAAGGGCAAGCTTGCACAACTTCATAACAACTTGCACAACAATCATGAACACCTTTCCTCTGTTTGATGTGCTTGCATGTGTGTGTGTTCATGTGTGCATGCATATATGTGTGAGTGAGTGAGTGCATTGTTTAAGGCTGCACTCAGCACTATTCCAGCTTTATGCCGGCGGTCTCTACACAATTTGTGTTTGGACCACACAATCCAGTGATTGAGACTGCGAGCACGCCGTTGGGCTACACTGACACGCAAATCAACCAAGCCATCGAGTCTGACCATCAATCAGTTTGGTCACCGACTAGTATACATTACTGGGGACCAATTCTAACTCGGAATCCCAGCAGGGTTTCCTCTGTAGTGCCCCATGCACCTTACTTCATGATATTCAGCATGTTCGAGGACTTCAATACTATGAACAAAACAAATTATTCTAGTAAAAGAGATTTTTACATCCTCAATTCTGAAATTAATACTTTGACCATGTTGAAAAGTCATAGTGTGATCATATCACATGAACATAGAGCTTATAGCATATCAGCGAGTGCTCATTGCAAAATAAATACTTACTAAAATGTATAAATAACATTGATTTTAGTTATCTACAAATAAATATCTATGTTCAAATACACCTCCATGGAAAGAGTTTGTGAAACAGATAGTAACAATGTGGTGCAGATTGACAAACTGAAAACACATTCACTGAGAGGGCTGCAACATCTCTCTGAACAGACTGAAATATTGTTGTTTCCTGTTAATTTGAGACCTATCTTGAGATTTTGATTCAATTCAACATGATACATTTCTACGAAAGAGCACGTAATTGCATTACAGCCAACTGAGAAATATGTATATGTGTGTTCTCCGTTAAACATATTACATAGATAGTAAATATGTGTGCCAATCAGAAAGTGATACTCAGGTAAAAGTCTTCACAGCCTGATCCATTCACTGTGTACATGTGTTAGTAGTAATAACCTCACAAATCAACAATAAGCCCAGCATAAGCTTTGATACACAAATTTCAGTCGGGCATGGAGTGAGTGAGTGAATATGGCTCTGTGCCACTTTAAGCACTATCCGAGCAATATCACCACGGGGGACACACATTGTACCCCTGAGGGGAATCAAACCCGGGCCTCTAACCACAAGGCTTCTCCACAACCCAGTAGGGCATAGAAATCATGTTACCAGTGTTACAAGTGACAAAATCAAAGGAATGTGTAGATTTTATCAATGCTAAACACCCTATGCCCCTACTGACCTAACTGCAGCCAATCTGACATCTCAGGAATGACAATTAGCACTAGTCCAACCAGTTTTGTTTATGTTAAAGGTATTTTAAAGGCTGGTATAATTTGAAACATTTTGGGGGTTATGCTATATGTTAGCACTATTTAGGCTTGGAGACGTTCTTGGTTAATTTACATCTTTGCATCTTCTAAATCTCTCTACAAACCACTTAGTTTTGGGCTTGAATTTCACTCATCAAATATGATTCACTGGCTGCATTAGAGATCTACATGAAATCCTGTTTATCCAGATTGAACAGTGAAATAATCCAGATTATCAATTATTGCATTAACAAATTGTCAATAAGAAAGGATTTAATAAAACATGAAAATACTTCCAAGAACAAAGGACAATTTCCCTATTATCATGATTATATCAATTTGTTTAGAAAGAGTCATATTGGCCTGTTATTACAGCTGGTTCCTGACATGCAGGTTACCACGGTAACAATCTCATAACCCTCATTTGCCATGTGTCAGGAACGGCATGAGTGTTGTTACTGAGGGGATGGATCATACAAAGATCACAAAGACCACACAACAAAACTGTCAGAAGACTTTCATATGGATCATGGAACTTCACGAGACAAAACATTTATCTGAGTCAAGTATGTGATACAGTCATGTGTGTGAGACACGGCCTATGCATGGCTGGGACATCTGATCATGTAAGAAGCTGACTAGCTGACCATCAGGTTTCATATACAAGGAAAAGGGTTCCTCAGGATCTGTCTCAATATGCAAGGTCTTTTCAGTGCATGAGACTGGTAATACACTGCTCTTAGCTATATTCCAGAAACATCATGGCAGTGGACACAAGAAATGGACTTCACAAATTGTACCCATGTGGTGATTCAAATTCTTCCTTTAACTATCTAGCTATTCCAAAGCCTCTTCAGACCATTCCAAGCCATGCAGTTGTCCCTGAGCCGCATGACTAAAGTCATGCCACACTTGAAATAAGAAGGCGCCCTGCTGACAATGAACTTGCTAATGCTGACAAGAACCTTGTGTCAATTTCCAGGATCACAACTCAAGGTCACTGTATGTTCTCCAGGATGAAGTACCACACAGTTCGTAGTCATGGCATGCTTGACATTGTATCAGCATCAGATGGTAACCATGGTTACAGGTACATGTCCGGTGTGGGTGTTCCCGTGACGTCGCACATGTTGACATAAACAATGACGGAGTAGCAATAGAGACTGACACTTTTGTGTCTCATCTCGGAGATGACATCCTGTAGATCCATGAGGCAATCCGTCATCACGTGGTGACCCTTCCGCCTGGGGCAGTAGATTCCCTCTGAAACACAAGGAAATGGATTACAGCTATGAGAGTCAGTGCTTGAGTGAGTTGGGTTAACGTCGCTTTCAACAGCTTTCAAGTTATATCATGGCATGTCAGCTTAATGTGGGAGAAAGCCCAGGATGATGCGGGTATGGTGCTTACAAACCTAGAAAAATAATGGGGTCAAAGCCACAATCATAGGTTTCTGGCGTGCCTAAGGGAAGCAACTCTGCACAACACCTTAGATAACCGAGTCACTGGTGCCCCTCCAGATAAAAGCAGCATTTTATGTCGTATATATTTCGATTGTCCGGAACGAAAGGTTTCTGGGTATCTGCAGTCGAGATAAGTGGGGTTCCGCTGTACACATAAGCATACTCATCATCATTAATTTATATTGTCTGTGTGTTTGTTTGTTGTTTGACGCCGCTCTCAGCAATATTCCAGCTATATGACAGTCGTCTGTAAATAATTGAGTCTGGACCAGACAATCCAGTGATTGACATCATGAGCATCGATCAGATTGGAGCCTGACCACCCAATCCTGTTAGTTGCCTCTAACGACAAGCAAAGTCGCCTTTTACGGCAAGCATGGGTTGCTGAAGATCTATTCTACCCCGGTTCTTCACGGGTCATTAATTTGTAACAAATAAGATGGCTTCAATCATGTGTAATAAGGTACATATACAATAATGTGCTAAAGGATATCATTATTCAGATGTGTGATATCTGGAAAATACACAAGCTATTTCTAACTGCATAAAATTGTTGACTGATGATGCAACCCATAATTGTCATCTAACAGGATTCTAATGTTGAATGCAACACTAAGAGACACCTACCTTTATAATCGTCAGGATGTAGGTCTGGGCTGTCTATGTCCGGACACTGACTGAGGTGGTCAAGCCAGGGGATGTCTGTCGACAGCGTCCACTTGCTGCCATTGTCATTGTAGCCTGAAACAGGGTTGTGTGTGTAGTGTCTGTCTGCAGACATCACAGCTAGTGGCAAGTAAGTCTGGGCCGCGTAAACCAGTGATTGATACCATGAGCAACGACCAACTCCTTCAGGGCAAGATCCTACATAGCAGGCCACACAGTGTAACCACTGGATCTTCATTTTAGTCAGCTTGAGTGAGTGAGTGAGTGAGTTTGGTTTTACGCCGCTTTTAGCATTATTCCAGCCAATATCACAAGGACGAGGACACCAGAAATGGGCTTTACACATTGTACCCATGTTGGGAGTCTAACCCGGGTCTTCAGCGTGACTATTTACATCAGAAATACTCCTAATATATATTGTTGGGATCCAGGATCATCATGCTCATATTTCACCTGAGGAAGGGGTAAGCATATACTATGGAACATTGTGTTCCTCGTAATAAAGAAGTTGACATGCATAAATTCTCTTGCTTATAATATTTACACATTTTCCAGCAATTTTTACACATTTTCCAGCTGGGTAATGATTTCAGATCACATCAACATGTTTTGTTCACCTGATCTTTATTGAAACACATAAACTTCTGTGGTCTGTCCTTCAGATAATGATAGTAAATATCTATCTCTACATAAAGAATGAATGTGAATGGTTTATGGTTTTCAGAAAATAAAAATAATCCTTAAATATTCCGCATCTCAAACACATGACCCCAGCAGTGAAATGCTACAATACTTAAAAACAATGTGATCCAATATAGCACACAGTTACTTCCCTTTACATGTTCACTGCTTTACTGTGCATCTCATGTGTTATGGTCATAGCTACAATAGGAGTTTGCATGCTTGTTTTGCCGTTTGTAAATTTGATCAATGAAAACATGACATTTACTATAAAACATCACTAGACATGATGATTTACAAACTCAATGGTATTTGTGTACTGTATTTTGTATGCCGGACAGTGTTTCGTACGCAGAGATTAAGATTACCTGTGAACATGTATTAGTCTTGTAAAAGAAATTTCATAGGAATTGATAGGAAGACGTTAAGACTTTGTATCTCCAATAACTAATTTTAGTTTCAAAGCAAGTTCATCGTGAGTTCATGTGATTTGCTGTTCTGATCATACACAATTTTGCCGAAATAAATATAAACAAAACTGAATGAAATCTCGGAGAAAAGTAATATAATTGATTACCAATGTAACTCCAGACACACAATGAACACTTTTTTAGCCAGATAGTGTAATAATATAACTAACTTGCGTACTTCAGTATGGATTTGTTACTTCTGCCGGCGTCCTATGCTCAGGACAACATCCTCGCATTGTGAAACAACTCCTCAAGGAATACATTAGGAAGGTGGGCCCTTTCCAAGGTTGATGTACACAACTGTATATTTGGTTTGAACACACAAACCCCACCCCCACAAAAAAAAAAACTACCAGCCCACACTTTATTTTCAAAAGCTATTGCCTGAGAAACAGTTCTTTTATCTTTTGAAGCCCAAGGGACCCACCATGCAAGATGTATGCATTTCTGTAGCATTTCTTCTCTTCATCATCGTCCTCATCCACTGGGAAGTTCTTGGCTTGTTCAAAATCCATGAACCGCAACAGCTCCCTGAAGAAACAATTAAACATGCTAAGTCTCAAAAATTGAAACTTCTAAAACAATGTGCTTTAAAAGGTATTGTCAGCAATTACTATTCATAAGGTCAAACTAAATTACTCCTTGTTTCATGGAAAGGATATTCTTAAATTTGCAAAAATGAAAAATAAAAACTGCCGAAAAACACATTAAAAAATACACTTTCATATCTTCATATTATATGTTTGTTGAACAAATTTCTAGAGATGTTCTTGAGAAATTGACCTCAAATGAATGTTTTCTATTTATTTAATTTTACCCACTGCAGCGATGTAACTTAACCTCAACCAGTTACTGGCCTGACTAGTGACAACATATTAGGACACCTTGGGAACAGAATTTGCACTAGCCTTCTGGCCTGAGGGGGGGGGGGGGGGGGGGCACGGGTGGCCCAGTTGTCTAAGGCGCTGCGATTCGCCGTGCAGAGTTGCGTCCCTTGGGCACGCCAGAAACCTATGATTGTGGGTTTGAATGAGACATGCATCACTTCAGGCTTTCTTCCCACATTAAGCTGACACGCCATGATATTACTGGAATACTGTTAAAAGCGATGTTAAACCCAACTCACTCACTCTGGCAGTTTCACTAATGTTAAATGTATCCCAAAGTCTGGTAGAATTTCAAACATTTTGGTGATGGTTCTATATGTATCACGTTTCAGGCTCGGAGACTTGGAAGGTTAATTTCTATCCCTGTACCTAACAAAAACTCTAAACTTCTACTAGCCCTTAGGAAACCTTTGACATTAGACAAGCTGATATGGGTTAGTGCCAAGATGCATCCCTACCCTACTGACCAAGAAAATTGTTAAAAAACAATGAATGTTATTCGTCTGGCATTCTAACTAAATAATGAATATAAACAAAATCTATTATTTTCAATAGTCCACCCTGGAGTTGTAACTGGTAGCATCCGTCCTGTTCAACATTACTCACTGAAAGTGTCTGTTGATCCTGGACGGTGTCGGTTACCATGGTTACCTATCACTGATTGAAGGTGACCTTCATGTCAACTTACATGTTGGTGCCACTAAACAGGTCGAGCCATGTGGCCACGCGGGCGCGGTTGTACATGGTGTGGGTGGGGTCGGGGCTGTAGTCGTAGATGACACACAGATGGTAGTCGATGTCAGGTTGGCAGAATAGCATGTTCTCAAAGGCAAACATGTCGAACTGCAATGACAGATAAAAAGGTAATTGATCATTTTAGGACAGCTTATGTTACCATGGTTACGGTGGCAAGAACGAAATCTAAGTATTTTCATGTATGCATAATATGATGAAACTCTTAATGTCCACCCCATCTGTGAGACATGTACATTCTTGTTTATGTCATCTGTGTGGATGCCAGTTCTTGCCATGAGATCATGTTGAAAACTAATACTTTGATCTATAAAAAGTATTTTTTCATCTACCACAATCCCTCAGCAGCTAAATTACACAAATCATACCACTGTGGCACACCAAGAAAGAGGTTAACATAATCTAGCCAATTAAATAGCTGAACCCCTGCTTGTATGCACAGATGAAAACACTGTCTATACAGGGCCACACCAAATTCATCTATCACTAAACAAACTTTGACTAGTGGATCCCCTGTTCAATGGAAATGGTTTCTTCCATTGCACATGGTATGCCAACCATCCCAAAGGCAGTATTCACACCAACTTTTGATAGTGAGAGGGACTTTGGTTTTATGCTGCTTTTAGCAATATTCCAGCAATAGGAAAACCAGAAATGGGCTTCACACATTGTACCCATGTCGGGAATCGAATCCAGGTCTTCGGCTCAACTTTTGTTAAGCTGGATTATCAGTAGTATGTTCCTACCTCGCTCATGAGACAAAGGTAGATAACTCTGTTTATCAGTAGCATATTCCTACCTGTCTCATGGGACAAAGGTAGATAACTGTTTATCAGTAGCATATTCCTACCTGTCTCATGGGACAAAGGTAGATAACTCTGTTTATCAGTAGAATGTTCCAACCCGTCTCATGGGACAAAGGTAGATAACTCTGTTTATCAGTAGAATGTTCCAACCCGTCTCATGGGACAAAGGTAGATAACTCTGTTTATCAGTAGAATGTTCCAACCTATCTAATGGGACAAAGGCCGGCATACAGCTGGAATAATACTGAGTGTGGTGTCAAACAAGAAACAAACATGGGACAAAGGTAGATAACTCTGTTTATCAGTAGCATAATCCTACCTGTCTCATGGGCCGAAGGTAGATAACTCTGTTGGTCATGCTGATCTGATCACAGACTTCATTGACGAGGTGCATCTCATCGATCTTCCGACACTGTGCGAATGACACCTTAGACAACTTAGGAGCACCACCTACTGTCACTTTCTTCAGCACGCGACAAGCACTTCCTGCAGATGATGGAATCAAGTTAATAAAAACTAACAATGAAGTATTGTGACAATAAAACAGTGAATGGGTGAGAGGATATGGTAACAGCAGCTACACCTGTGTTTGCTCATGGTGATTGTTCTTGCAGTTATGTAGAGACTGACAGTTCATGTTTTGAATATGTATGATGCAGGGCAATGGACAATACATTCACTGACAATCATACTGGTGAAACAAGAAACAGTGTAAATGAAGGGGTGATTCAAGGTTCACTGAGTGAGTGAGTGAGTGAGTGAGTGAGTGAGTGAGTGAGTGAGTGAGTGAGTGGGTGGGTGTGTTGGTGGGTGAGTGAGTGAGTGAGTGAGTGAGTGAGTGAGTGAGTGAGTGAGTGAGCGAGCGAGCGAGCAGGTGGGTGGGTTGTGTTGGGTGGGAGGGGTTTAACATCGCTTTGAACAGTATTCCGGTTATATCAGCTTCATGTGGGAGGAAAGCGTGCACGTGTCAGATGTTTACCACTTTGGTGAAACCCACGACCATGGGTATAGTGGTGAGACAAATCAAGAAATATAATCGGGCTAATCAGTATTCTAAACCCACGATGATAGGGACACAACCATTAGACCACTAGGCTACCTGTTCCCTTTTGTACCCCGGGAAACTGGAGACATTAATCAATGTCACAACACAATATGCTCAGAGTATGTGCGTGTGTGTGCATAACTGCACACTTCTTTCAGCAATATTACAGTCATATCAGGGCAGGAGACACCAGAAAAATAAGACATTGCACTCATGTGAGGAATCTCATCTGTGCTGAAAGCTTTTGAGTCTACTTGCCCGAAACAAGCTAAAGGAAACAAGCAAGAGCAATGCAAATTCAATAACTCACCTCGGAGTAGCTTGAGGTTTGGACACTCATCAACAATGATGTCTGTCACCCCGACCATGTGCAGTGTGACACATAGAAGACTCTTGGACCTTAGAGACAGCACCTGAGTGATAGAAATACATGTTTAAGTATAAAATAGGGGTATACAGCAAGTACCTAATGCACTTATATCACAAACTTACTGCACGTTAATGTAATTTGATTTCGTTTATCTTTTAATCAAGAAGATAACAGTCTTAGAAGAAAGTTTATGGCGACAATATGCATTGCATAGCAACAGTTTGTAATACAGCAGGGATAATTCAAGGGTGAGGCCTTGTGCTTTTAGCCCCTAAATTTGAAAAAAGGCCCATATTTTTGTGCTGTATGGGCAAGTGTGGGTGTACCTCTGGAATATTTGAATTTGAAGGGCCCATGTCATAACATTCCTAGAGTGAACCCTGATACAGCAACACAACCAACCCCAATGTATAAATACAAAACACTGTGTCCAATAACATGTATATGGGTTAGTATTTTTAATATGCTGAAATAATGCTGATACAAAAATAAACATAAAAACATGATAAATGAAGAATTGCTAAAGCTCACCTGAATATGGTCATCCTCTATGACTGGGTCACTTGTGCTAGTAGCTTTATCACACATGTTGGCTTTCCTCCGCGGTCCCAGTTTCAACCTCAGCACCTCTACCCTGGAACCGGATCCACCTTCGTGCACAACAGATGACTGAGACCTCATTTTTGTTGTCCTTTTCCCACAGCAGTTGCCTCCCTTTGATTTAGGAGGAGCTGCAGCAGCTCCTTGTCGTGCCTCTTCCTGCTCCTTCGCACGCTTTGTCGTCTCACGTATTTCATCGCTGACTGCCTGACAGCACTTGTCATGCATGTTTGGATTTGTCTTCACAACATTGTCAAGCTTCCTTCTCTTTTTCACAAGACCTTTCTTTTTGCCAGTCAGACTCTTCCCACGTTTCCTTGGCCTCATGTTGTAACCCTTTGTGTCTTCGTCTTTGTCTTCTTCACCAGCGTTCTCCTTCCCAAAGCCCATAGCCTCCACCTCCTCTGGAGTAAACAAATACATGTTGTCATCACCTGCTATTCTGGTGGCGGACAAGTCATTGTGATAGTCTTTAGCAATGTCATCTAGAAATTCATCTACTGTACGATTGTCGGGTTCACTTTCGACAGAAGCTTTATCCCAAGAGTTTTTGGATGTACTTGGTTCCGGGGAACTATTTTGTGAGTTTGTCTTCCTGTTATCAGATGGCTGTTTTTTCTTTCGAACTATTTTAGCATTGTCCACATTTACATTCACTGAACCTTCATCACTGGAACTCTCTGTTGTATCCCCTGTAGGTTCACGCTGACTGGAGGGACTTGATTTATCGAGATCTTTACGTGTCAAATGTGGCACTGAACACTTTTTCCTTCTTGTTGCAGGATCAGATACTGCACAAGAGGTAGTCCTCGGATTCACTGATTTTGGTACATTCGAAACAGGTTTCTTTCTAATGAGATCAACATTTGAATTTGCTGACGATGATTTCACTGTGCCAGACGAAGAAGCTACAGTTGAAGGTTGAGATGATTCAAGATGGCTACAAGTGCTCCCATGCTGACTGCCAGCAGTTCCTGAGGGTGAAGCACGAAGTGGAGCAATAGGCGACTCTACATGGGGGTCCTTTGAACAGTGCTGTTCAGTTGTTTTATCCCTATCTCGCTGTGCAGGACTCACCAACTCTGAGCCACGAGAAGCACGATCTGCACATTCACGTTTCTCCCTGCAGTTTGAATGTGACTTGTCACTTCTTTTATCAATATGTTCATCCTTGGTCCTTGAACAAGTTTTCTTCTTCTTTTTAGCTGGGCTACAGATGTGTTCTTCAGTTTCTTTATCTTCAGCTGTCTGTCGGTCACTAACATGAACTCTCCCTGCAGAGTTGCAGGGAACACTACTACACTGCTGTTCATTTTTCACACATGGAATTTGTTTTTCCTTCCTGTCCTTGACTACTTGAACACTAGCAGAAGTGGTACTGGTGGATGCCTTGTTTCCATGAACACTAGCAGACGTGGCACTGGAGGTTGCCTTGACTACTTGCACACTAGCAGACGTGGCACTGGAGGTTGCCTTCACTACTTGCACACTAGCAGACGAGGCGCTGGTGGATGCATTGACGTCCTGACCACTAACAGATGAGTTTCTTGAAGATGCCTTGATTCCTTGCACACATGCAGAATTGGTGCTGGAAGATGGTTTGATTCCCTGTGAAGAAGCAGACATTGTGCCTGACGCTCGTGATGTACTGGGACATGCCTCATCTAGTTCTCTCTGGGCTACAGACAATGAAGATGAGGACACAAACTTGGGTTCAGTAACCAGAGCCTCATCCTTGGTTCGAAGTTCAATGGCACTGTTACATTCAACCTTCACCTTGATCTTGCCGTCTGCTGGACTTTCTGTATCTGTATCACTGCCATTACCAATGTCAATATCAACGAGCTGGCAGGTGGACCTTGAATCAACAGATGGGACAATATTAACTTCTCTTTTCATACAGCTTCCTGAAGGCATTCCCCCACAATAGACCCGACTTGTGCTTGGCTGTGGGTTGTTCAAATCGTCTTTGCTTGATCCTGGCTTGCTGTCATCCTTTTCAGGCTGCTTGGATTTGGGCTGACTAACTTTCTTACTGACTTCTGCGTGCTCCTCTTCCTCATGGGATTTGTTACCTGCTCCCTCATTGGCTACCACTGCCAACATTCGAATGTCATCTCCAATATGATTGGCCATATCAATGTTTTCTTCATCCCCACTCAATCCATCAAAATCTAAGTCATCTCCATTATCAGAAAAATCATCAAATTCATCATCCTCATCCAATGGATCATCGTCAGGTTCAATGTGGGGATCAATGTTATCTGCATTTTGATTGGGTGGTTCATTGTTGTTAATGTCCCCTCCGTTAGCAGCCCTGGCCCCTGCATCTGGATTGTTATTGTTATCATCCTGATTCAGGTCCCCGTCGTCATTGTTGTGATTCCCACCATCAAGGTTACCAGCGTCGTTGCCGTTGTTCTGGACAAGAGCTGAGGATACACCCAACCCGGTGCCAGCACTCAGGCCAACTCTGCAACAAGGATTTAATGTGGATAAATGTTATTGAATAATACTGCCTACAGACAAAATGATCAATACATGTGCTCACCACTGTATCTGCATCTTCTCATGAGTCTTAATACTGGAATATTCATAACCATGATTACTTTCATATGCAACAAATTCTGGTTCATGTTTCAGTTGCAGGGGACCCATCCTATTCATGCCATGTCAGTAATATCGGGATAAAATAAGAGTAATTTTTAGTAATTGTACTCATTTTTCAGTAATGACTCCAGCTACCTGGCAAAGTTTGTTGATCTGTTTTTCATTCAAATTTCTATCGCTGTTTGCTATCGTGAGCGCCATCACTGCTGTTATAAGTAGTGCCCAGTGCACATGTCATTTACATATTGAGTGAGTGAGTGAGTGAGTGAGTATGGTTTTACGCCGCTTTTAGCAATATTCCAACAATATCACGGTGGGGGACACCAGAAATTGGCCTCACACATTGTACCCATGTCGGGAATCGAAGCCGGGTCTTCGGCGTGACGAGCGAACGCTTTAACGACTAGGCTACCCGACCGCCCCCATTTACATCTTGAATACTGTTCATGTATTTTCACATTCTCGCTCAGCCATACTCAACATTTTATGATATAAATTACAAGCTCCCTACAGTGTACTTCCAGACAGGATGTCATGTGAATCTTCAAGCAAATTACAAGCAATGCGATGAGTAACTCATGAAGATATACTGTATTTTTAACAAATTGATATATAATTTATTTTTTAATAGTTAACTTTATCACCATAATACCGTTAATTTTAGATGAAAATCGTAATGATTACAGAGAAATCGTAATGGTAGGCATCTGTTGTAACCATCTGTCAACACAGATCTGTCAAGAGAAAGGTAAGTGAGTGAGTGAGTTGGGTTTAACGCTGCTTTTAACATTATTCCAGTCATATCACGGCATGTCAGCTTAATGGTGGAGGAAAGCCCGAAGTGATGCAGGTCTCAGACGTTTACCACTTTGGTGAAACCCACGAGCACGGGTATGGTGCTGACAACCTAGAAACATAATCGGGGCGAACCGGGATTCGAACCCAAGAAAGGTAAGTGCACTGACTATAGAAAGAACTTAATATTACAATGTGCCCCAGTGTGAGTGAGAGAGGACAGGGTAAGCCCAAGAACTGTCCCTACGTCCTGCAGAAATATGCAACACCACTTGCCTTCTAACCATGGTAATCATTATATGACCACTATCTGATCCCAGGATTCCGTGCAAAGTGTGCTAACTGAACCCATACGAGGCCAACCAATGGCCAGTTGTATGAGCACCTACTTACATCTTGCAGTGAATGGGTTGAATGCTTTTCTTACTGTACAATAACACAACCAAAGTTTACTCATCAAACCCCCAAACGGAGTCCTTGAACAATTATCTGAACTCATGATAGTTATATAGGTTTGTTTTCAGGCAGAATTACACTCTGTACTTCATACTTTCTTATGATTATCATTTTTCCATTAGCATGATTACACTGGTGTCTCGTGAGTGTTGTAGTACTAGATATTATAACAGTTTCATACATTGTTGTATGTTTTGTCTCTTCTGTAGCATTCAAATGGAAACTGCACATGACAGGTTTGTTTGTTTGTTGTTTCATGCTGCACTCAGAAGTGTTCAAGCTATATGGCTCAGATCATAAACAATCAAGCGAGGACCACACAATTGAGTGATTGACATCATTGGCATCGATCTACGCAATTGAGATACAATTACATGCATCGAGCAGGTCAGTGGGCCTGACCCATCTAGCATACATGTTACGTCCTCTACTGCTTACGAAAAGCAAGACCAATTCTAACCCACATCTTCGAGGTTGACATATGATAGGTACCTGACTGGATTTCAAAATCTTAACTGTGGTCATGTTCCAGCAGTATTCAAAATAAGAGGTAAAATTTGATTTCTGACAACAGAAACGATTCCCCACCTAGCACATCCTTTCGGTGGCTCCCTGAACATGTATTCTAAGTGCAGCAGCTCAAGCTGGGGTAGGTGTTCAACGAAGCGGCAGAAGTCTTGGAGACGGAGAGCGTGACAGCGACGGAGATGAAGGTGTCGCAGGTGACTCAGGGTCTCCACACCTGCAGAACAGTTACCATAGTTACAGATCTCAATACACAGTTGAAAGTAAATTGTCCTTGGTTGTCCATCAGAGAAAGTGGTTTTAACATTTCAGTCTTCAATATTCCAGTGGTTGATTGGGTACATGGCTGACAAATCTAGAATTACAGTGTGGACAAATTTGAACATTCACTTTCGTTCAATGTTACAGCATATTGTTTCTCTGGAGGCCGTTTTCTCTGAATCAGCTTACCTGATGTGAACCATGACATGGGGAAATGGAGGTGCGGACAGTTGTAGATCTCCAGGTTGCGGAGGAAGGAGAAGCACTGACCAATGGCCTTCATCCCGATGTCGGTGATCATTGCAGGGTTCTCGGACACCTCTGCCAGGCCGTGGATCATCACCAGGTCCTCCTGGTTCCACTTGCCTGCAAAACACAGAAACATCAAACAGACACGATAAGACACAGACTGACAAAACACAGTAACATCAAACAGACACGATAAGACACAGACTGACAGAACACAGTAACATCAAACAGACATGATTAGACAAATGCGTGGATAGATGTTCATTATTGCTGATTGTGGAGTTAGCAATCAAACAAACAAACACAAATAAATGTTAGGAACCAACAACCAACATTTCACCATTTTAATTTTTTCTTTCCACTGTCTACTAAACACATTCCGTAATAGTTGCTTACCCGACTCTGGAAAGGGGTCGACATATCCAAGATGGAGAGTCTCGAACACAGGGAAGGTGACGTCAGCCATCTTGATGGCAGCAAACAAACTGTCCTTGGTGAGAGAGGGCTGGATACTCAACTCCTCTAAGCTGGAGATGGAATGTATAACAGTGTCACAGTCAACAAGGAATACAGTCAAACGTTCTATCAAAATTAATGAAAATTCCGTAGTTAAGTGAGAGCTGTTTTGCATCACACTCAGACCTGTCAGAAATGGTCAACATAATATCACACTATCAGTACATATACATGATGCTGTTGAGAGTTTGGACCAGACAATCCCAAACTAATTGTTGCTAGTGTGGGCAAAGATACCAGCCATCCAGGCATGAAAGACATATATTCAATCCAGGACAAAACTTTCTAAGAAATAGTTCAGAAAACTGAAGAGCGAAAGTATTCCTTACCAGTGAGCAGCTGTGATCATGAGGTAGCCGAGGTCAACTTCCTGTGCGTGTTTGCAGGCTCCGAACATGACAGTCTGCAGCTGGGAGAAGCCACTGACTCGCCAGCTGTCCTCCACGATGTGCTGTATCAGCCCCCCTGTGTACCACATGTAATGGCTATGTTAATATGGTCTGTAGTGATTTTAAGTCATAATTATCATCCCATGCATATGAAGATTTTTTTACAACTTATTCCAGGAAAGTGTACAAGAAAAGATATTTCCATCATCAAAACATTCATACTGGCCATACAATTAACAAGAGATCTTGGACCCTTATCAAGCATTTTGTGCCTTATGTTACACCTTATCCTTTGAATTCAAATAATAAATCTGTGGCCCATTTCCAAACTACTTCTTGGTAATTTGTCCTCATGCTGATAGCCCTGAAAAGAAATGTCATGGTTCTCTAAAAAACCTTCTTTGCTCCTTTGAAAGAAACAAACCGTATGTGTTACAGCAGTGACAGAAAATATATTCTGTCTCAAACAAAAAATCCCCCCACTCCCCCCATAGCAAATTGAATGGTCAGTCTGTAAGGTCTTACCAAGAAACGGAACTCTGACAAGCTCTAGCCGAGTGAGAGACCTTGCCGCAGCCAGGCCTGTTATCAGAGGCACATACTTCAGTGTGCTGGCGGGACCTGCACAGTTAGACATGACAAAGCTCTGCAGGCTTGGAACTGCAAAATCACGGAATGGATGCGAGTGTGTGATTTTTACCCAACGGAGATAAATATGTTTCACATGACTCATACGAGGTAGTTCTGAAATCACAACTCCAGACAAATGAAGGGACGTGATTCTTGGGTTAGATGTCAGAGTGAGTTTATTTGATGGATTGATTGGAAATGCACCATTTCTGTTTTTGAATATTCCAAGAATTTCCAAGCGTGGAAGATAATTCAAGATGGCTTCCATGAGGTTGATATCAGACACTTCCACTGCTTTAAGTCTTGGTGCTGATGACAAAGCTGCAACAATTCCTGGAATAGTCAACATGTCAGCACCACGTTGTCTTCTCTTAAGGATCAGCTGAGAGTGAAAACCATATATTGATGCAAGTTCCACACATCTTGATATGAGCTTTGCCAGCATGGAATCATTCAAGCTTGCAGGAATCCATCCATATATTTCCCCTTCAGTAAAATCAATTGACTTCCTAACTTTAAGATGCATTGAAACAGCCTTCTGAATCTTCTTACACTGTTGTTCCATTTTCAGCACATCTCGCAAAGGGAGGTAATTCAGTACATGACATATGATCTCGAGTGACAGATGACTAAAGAAATCTGAACTATTGAGAAAGGCTTGACTCTTTTCTCTTTCCATTTCGGCTGCTATTTCATCTCTTTGCCTCATTTCACTAAAACAATTTAATAGATCTGACAAAGTCATTTTTTGATGTTTCTCTATAAGGTTACTACTGTTACATGTGCACTCTGTAGCCATCTTGAATGATGTCATCTCAACCGGTTGCTGCTACATATACTGATGTTGACTAATTTTCTTTCTTCGTTTCATTTTTCTCGAGGCTGACTGCAAAAGATAATGTAAACTTCATTTCATATATGTATTTTTTGTGTAAGCATGGTAAGTGTACTTGGCAAGTACATATACATATTAGAATTACATTAATTGAACAGTTGGGCCATTTCATTGTAAATAAATAAAAAAAATGTAGGGTAGATCCTCTGAATTGGTAATATTTGAAACATTCATGAACAACCAAAAGAATATCAGAAACATCATCATCAAAATATAACCATCAAAGTGACATTGTTAAAAATTCAATTTCTTTGGGGATGTCATTGTGAAATTATTGCAGGAAATGAGAGAAACAAAGTCTTAGTAATGCATCATAGCTACTTGATAGTGGGTTTCCATAATGTTTACACAAGTAAATATATTCTATAATAGAATAATCTATGATTCATGAATTTTTATGTATGACATATTTATCAATTTGACTGTTCTATTTTCATTTTATTATTATTATCATGACTATACTATTGATAATTTCAACCTTTCTTTAAAGTTTCTACAAATAAATACTGATTTATATTTTCAGTAACACTGATTAAGGCCAATTCTATAAAATAAATGAAATATAGAATGATATGACACACATACCCTGACAAATAAATGAATTGCATATGTTACTACAAATATTTTTCTCCCCATAGAATTTAGTCAGTGAACATGGTGACAGTTCTTTTGACCTGTATTTTGGAGAAAAAAGGAAAACATATATAAACCTATAAATGTTGCGCTTAAGTTACTTTTGGGCATGGATTTGGTGCATGATAAATATGTACATTATTATTATTACAACCAGTGATAATTAAAACCATACATTTAAAACTTGTTTACTGTCAGTAAAAGTTACCCAAAAATTTGTTTTCATTATCAAGCACTTTATTCATGATCAGTTCAAATTCATTATATTTATTGGTACATGTCGAGTTTCACTTTCTTCACTATCAAACAGAAACTTAGGGAAAACATGTCACTTGAGCTTGTTCATCTGTATACAGGCGGTGACAAACACAAGAACAAAATATCGTTCGGGAATAAAATCATAACTTGCAATTGCATAGCGACATAAAAACCTAAAGATACGTATGTCAATGTAATTCTAGGAACATGTTTGCTCCGACAAGCATACGATTCATCAACATTGACAAAATGCAATATAAATACACGTAGAAAATATGGGTGTGGATGTATTGGAACTTAAAAAAACAGGGGTGCCAACAATTCTATTAGGTAGGAGTAATTTCGGTTTTAACGCATATGAACTTGACGTATTTATGAAACATACATTCTCTGGGTGCTCCGAGAAAGGGGTAGAGCGCTGGCCTTGGAATGGTTCTCTTTTCAGGGGCATCCTCCCGCAGTCCGTATTTTATCATGAGAGGTTTGATTATACCGAGGTCGAGAGCCGGGGAAAAGTAATAGCCCAAACTGCAAGTGATTACAGCGTACACAAATATTTTCCTATTCCTCTGCGATCGAACTGGGATACGCATCCTGGATCAGTTAAGTGAAAGGTCGTTCGATCAGAATGTCACCAAGTAAGCCGACATGTTGCAATTCAGCATGTGAAGACCATGCGTAGTTGCCATTGGTCAATATTCACGCACCTGCTGTTATACTGGTATTTGGTGGCAGAAACGCACGTTTATATAGATGGACCCCAGTCTTTAAAACATTTTACAGTACCACACAGTTTAAGAAAAATACAACACTAAAAAGACTTTGAGTGAATGATTAATGAGCTCCTTATTCGTGGAAATTTGGTGCATTAGCTTTTTGAAAACGTTCGCTCAGAGATAGTTAAAATTAGTAAAAAATTAACGTCGCATCGGCATTATTTCAGCCACATGGCGACGATGTTCGCACAGAGAAGACCATCAACAATTCAATTCATTTCGTTAGTGTATGTCATAGGCCCATGGTTAAACTCTTATTAGAACTGACGTCCTCAAAGTATTAATAATAAATATACTACGATGTGTCATGGCTTCATACATACATGCACATAGCGAAATGAATAATTAATTTACATTTATTTGTAAACAAAAGGATGCTAAATTTATGTTTGGTCGGATGCACACAATACATCCTTGGTAAGTTATCTATCCTTAACTTGTTTTTAAGTGAGCAGAGTAAAACAAATGATAGCTGTACTCAACATACCCAGCCTTACAAATGCAGCATAATCTTCTGTTTCGTGAGTTGTTAGTGTATTTCTCAGTTTCAATACACGGCTGATGCGAACAACATAAACACTGAGCAAGTGCATGCAGCTCTACATTGTATGGCTGTCTAAGATACAACTCCGTACCAAACGAAACCTTGAATAGAGAATAATATAAAGATGTACTACCCTATTCATGAAGACTATGCCAATCCTGATCATTAATTAATTTCAGAAGAGACATAATTACAGACAAAAAAAAGATTGAGGATAACTTATGCACAATAAAGATTTACATTTTGAGACTCCCAAAATACCGTAACCTATTGCCAGAAGCATCATATAATACTAATACTCACTATAGCGAGATTTGGACATACTCCAAAACTTGATGGACAAACCAATAATTCTGCTGGCACTATATATCGGCATCAGTCCGGACTATTACAAGCAGCCATACACACACAAACGTACATGTCGCCATATATAAGTGCAATAAGTGTTAAACCCAATTACCCCCCCCCCCCCCCCCCTCTACCCCCCCCCCTCTCTCTCTTTATACGGCATGACTCAACGTGACATCTGCACATCTATCACCTCCACCCAGCCGCTGTGAGGTGTTAAATCCTCCATTGTGTACGGTCACATACACCATCACCTACTTATAACTTCACAGCTTTTAGAATTGAATGTATAGTATATCAATTTATCTCGTGGTATTGATATATCACCGTTGATAGAGATGTGTGATTTCCGCATCTGTTGCTTGTTCCATCTGTCCAGCTCACCAGCGCAGAACAAAAACCGACTTCCCAATCATTTAGACTTTTTCAATATATTCGCATTTACTTTATGATGTATAAACATCTTTAGGTCCGACTATTTGAATTTTCCCGGTGGCTGGGGCGTAGGATGGTGACATTTCTGTTACAAGTCTTGTCCCTGCAAGGAGGCGGCAAACATTCTGTTTGAGAACCACACCATTTAGTACACCTTCAATTTATACTATCCAATGAACGTTATCAATATGCACAGAAGCGGCGCTAGGAAACGACCACTTGATATTCGGGTTTTGTGGGAGGGGTGCGTCAAAACGCAGCCATTGTCGATTTGCAATGTCTTTAACGCCATTGTTTTCACACTTGTTCAAAGATTTCATAGAGGAAAACAGTAAAGCAAAATGCACGTGCAAGTTATGTCATTCGTAACTCGTGGTTATTAGGCAAGCATAAGCCAATAATTTGTAATTCAATTGTGAACATTTTTCAAGTTCGAAAATACCGAGACTCAGCGCTGCCGATCGGAACATAGCCATAGGACGTATCCAAATAGGGGAATCGCAGTGTTCTGTTGCACCCCACTTCAACGTCCACCACAGCATAATTTGCCGCTTTTGTGACCCATACACACTGTTCAATTTCACTGCAGACTGTCCGAGAACCGGCCGACCAAGAGTTACCACCCCTGCACAGGATCGCTACATTCGACTGTTCCACCTACGTCATCGCAATGCCACAGCTACGGAGACTGCAGGACGCATCACTGGTTTGAGGAGGATACCAGACCAGACTGTCAGGAACCATCTTCTCGAGGCTCGACCCAGAAGACCAGTTATCGTCCCTCTTTTGCCACAGATCCATCGACAGCGACGCTTGCGTTGGCGCCATACCATACAGCCTTGGAATTCGAGAAACTGGAGACGAGTGTGGTTTAGCGATGAATCACGATTTCTTCCTCACCGGCGAGATGGAAGACAACGTGTTTATCGTCGTCGAAATGAGCGTTTTGCCCCACATTGTTTACATGAATTCGACAAATTCGGTGGCGGCAGTGTCATGGTGTGGGGGTCCATATCCTACACCACGAGATCTGATTTGGTGGTTCAGGGAAATTTGACAGCAATTCGCTACATGAATCAAATTCTTCAACCTCACCTTCTTCCAATCATTGACCGCCAGAGAGATGTTTCAACAGGACAACGCCCCACCGCACACAACTCGTGTCACGGTAGACTATCTCAATAATGCCAACATCAACGTCCTTCCCTGGCCGTCGAGATCTCCAGATCTCAACCCAATCGAACACCTCTGGGATGAACTCGATCGACGTGTACGTCAACGTCAGAACACGCCGCAGACACTCCCAAAACTGGCCAACGCGTTACTAGCAGAATGGCACAGAATTCCGCAGGACAGATTCAGTCAGTGCCGAGGAGATGCAGAGCCGTGATTGATGCCCGGGGCGGTCACACCAGATACTGAAGGCCTTGTGTGACATGACAATGAACAGTTTTCAATGCCTTTGTACAACGACAACATGTGACTATCGAGCTCCAAAATTTTATATTTGTATCTACTAAATACCACCTTTATTAGGTATAATAAATTTACTAAAAATCTACCTATGCGTTTCTTTTTTTTTGAAGAGTGTAAACATCCGTGTGGCACACTGATATACCATGCGGCAGTGTAACTTGAATATCTTACTTCGACACAGTATAGTGTATACTCCGACCCGACCGGTCCTTGTTTTAGCCCCTTAATGTCGCACGCCAGGCAGGGTAACAACAAGTACCATCTTTTAACGACGTTTGGTATGACGCGGCCAGGCGCTGAACCCCCGACCTTCCGCTTTCCAAGCAGTGCTCTATCAACGAGACCACGGAGGCGGTCAGTAGTGTCGGAGACCTCGGTGGTTCCTGATCTTCTTCAGACTCTCCAAATCATCACGGATTTTGTTGTCAAGCATGTTGGCCAGCACCTGGATGAACTTGCCACCCTTCACACCCTCTGTCTGTTAAGAAACAAATCTGAGATCTTGTACTGGCGGGGTTCGTCACCATTGTGATGACCCTGCCCACTTCTTAACCAGAAATCTCTCCTGCACGTTTAGTAAGGTCAAAGTTTGCCTTCTTCAACAAAACGTTGGAGAGTCTACCACCCATACCCTTAACTGCTGTACATAAGGGTGAACATAATCTTTATTTGTCCATAAATGTGGGTGTTCATCACGATTTCATGAATATACGTTTAAAGATATCTTTTTGTGCCATGACCACAAGATGTTGCAGTTTGATTTTAATCTTCACACCAACTAACCGTTTGGAAATATTTCTTCATCTCATAAAGCAACGAGGACAGGTATTAAAAAAAGAAATCAGATCATGGTTTCACTTAACGTTTGATATGAGTAATCCCTATGCTAACAACAGGGATGTTACAACACCGACCATAACATTATAAAACCAAATGGGTAAATATAAAACGCCAGAGAATAATCATTCAGAAAATCTGGCCGTAAAGGGCAAACATTTGTCTTTGTTGAACGCGACATAGATTAGCTGCTTCTGCTCTATGCACGTTTCCTGCAGCTGTCAGATTGAGAAGTTCATGTTGGTCGTAGATCAGCCTGACCTGAATCCTCACTGCGATTCGGAATACACCTTATCAGCAAATTTCTGTATGGTCCACACAAGCAAAGAGCTTTCTTGCAATGCTCAGCAAAGAAATCAAGAGATTGTTGTTACAAACTCGTCGATTACGCATGTTCTTGTATGAGGTGACGATGTCTCATATCCTGGAGCACCACTCCTCCGAATACTGACACAGAAGTTTATACAGGTGGTTTAGCAGTTGATGACCTCTGGATGGATCCCATCCATTCCGAGCACTAAACCGCAAAACAGCCTCTCAATGGCCTTATATCAGCCCAGTTCCTCCATTACTGTCAGGCACTAATGGCTTTCAGTGCAGAGTTAGAGATGACGTTTTCCCTGGAGTAGAGCTGACCAGTGCTCAACCCGTTGGACCCATGTGTTTCTTTATGCCAGCGTACACACATGGGGTGATCCCATCATGAGTTGATGACTGAATGCCTTTGCAGAGCTGCAGCAAGTAGTAGTTTGCCCATATTATTGATGTTTGCTTCCGTCAATTCTAAGAACTTGCAGAGTCTTCTTTTGGTTTGAATAACGTTTTGTTTTATGCACCTTCCCCCAATGACAGGGTTGAGCTCGCAGGAGTAAGCTTTGAGCCAACCCCTGCTTCTTCCCAAACGCTGAGAATGAAACGGCGTGAATAGTGCCTGTCAGATGGTCCCATCTTTGTTTGGCATTTCCCTGTGGAGGTTCCTTTTTGGCTGGAATCTGATTCTGGAGCAGACCAAGTAGTGGTCTGTCTCGGAGTCGGCACTAAGGTACAAACATGTGATAAGTACGTTACTAAGGGGCGCAATCTTGTGATGATCGAGTCTAGCTCGTCTCCAGGACACCGTGTGCTGAGGTGTGAAGAAGGAATCAGTGCTGCACAGGTAGTGGTGTGTGCACAGCTCTGGTATTGGAACTCGTCCTTCGCCCCCAGTGTGGAGCAGAGTGTAGGAACGTACACACTGATGACAGGCCTGTCGGAGTCGGAGGGTCAGAAGTCTTTCCGTTTCAATCTTGCCAGGTTCTAACATTCTGTACAGTGAGTTCTTGACAGCAAAGCCGGTGCCATGCTTTCTAGTTTGATCAGCTCGCTTTCCCTGCCAGAGGAACGTTTACTCTCTCTCACACAGTGCCATAGACTGCCAGGTGTGTTCCTGTTGCAAGGCTTTGTCGACTTCCAGTCTTCAGGGTTTGTTGTTGATGATAGCAGTCGTGGTACATCACTCATGCCCCGGAGGTCCACAGACAATCCGACCGTCATGGTGCGAACATTTCAGCATCCCAACTTAAGAACTGTCTTCTTGAGTTTCTCTCTTCATTCTTTGTTGTCTTGTCTGGTACACGGTTTACTGTCCGCGGATCATGCGTGTCGCAGGTTTAAGCCTGGCGGCCTTTCTCGTCCAATGAGACACAATGATCCCTGTCACCATCGGAAGCAACTCCTGGTGCCATGTTCTACGCCAATCACCGGTAGACTCTTGCTTCTCGGGTTGTATCGTCACTGAGTTGACGCATGCAACACACTACCCTGCTCAGACTACAGTCTTGAGCAGGTCGCAGTTTAATCAAAGAAGTTGTAAATTGAAACCTGACTCAATATTTAAATACACACAGTCTGCAAGAAAAGGGTAAGATATGTTTTATCTGCAATGCGGGCATATGAATATTTTACAGTAAACCGGGGACTTGATCATTTTGTAAAGAACCCCCCCCCCCCCCCCCCCCCACACACACACACACACACCCTATCCTCCCGAATGAATGGTTGCTCCCTGACATCATACGAAATCCAGCTGTTGGCGTTTCATGGATAGCTTGTGTTTCCATTTTTATATAGTCTGTGTAGCGAACAGCTGATACCACCAGTTGTGCATGATGTAATACATATTAAAGCACCACCTAAGGTTTATCGTCATTCGTGTAACTGACGATCGAGCAGGTACATTGCCAACATGAATTTTCACGCTGGTGCCATGTTGATGTGCTTAGCTGTTGTGGCTGCGGCGAGTCTGGATGAAATAAACCAGCCGAAAGAACTTCACATGCACAAATCTGGTTCCCGACCCTTATACCAGAGAGAAACGGGAAAGGCAACAAGAAGTAAGTAAAAAATTAATTAATTGGAGACCCTGAAAACTCTTTTTGGGGGCTCCTTCACCTTATAAAGGAAAGTGTGGGCCTTGAGGCAGTGACAAAAAACAACAACACATATGTATGTTCATAACATAGACATTACTCTGTAGTATTAACTTTAAATTATTGTTTCAATTTACTTTATTTAAGTTTTCGCTCTTCAAGCCTCATAATTATGAGTAAACGGACGGGATTCGTTCACAATGAGCAAAGTAAGACGGCATAGTTTCTTCCAGCACAAATCCGCCATAACGGGCACCAGTAGCTACAACAAAGTTAACAGAGTTTTCATATAAAAGGCTTTAGTATTTTGTGATCGGACCATCTTCCAAAAGCTAAATGACGAGACACTGTATGTAAAGAAGCCCGGGGTAGATTGGTTTCTCACGATAGTTGCAGGTTAGTCGTTCATTCAAAATCTTTATGTAATAAGTCGTCAAATTTCGACCAATCACGTCCCTGTAGTTGCCAACGCGCGGACCATGGACATATAATCGCAATGGACTTGCATCGCCCAAGCCTCTGTTATTTGATGTCCCACGCCATCATATATAGGAAAAGATGACATATGCAAGAAACATTACTGTTTCTTTTACATCTGAACACACTGATACTGAGATTAGCACATCACACTGAACTGTTAAACCTCTTAAATATGCAAACTATACTTACTTTACCTGTCGCACCGTATACACAAGACTTATGAATACTATTGAAACACGTTCAATAAGCGTTAAATAACACTGAACTAGTTGAAAATAAGCTCGTCACGCCGGACCCGGGTTCGATTCCCACTTGGATGTGTGGGACCACCACATGTCTACCATAAAACTTTCTGAAGGCTTTGATGAGGCCATGCAAGTTGTAACCTTGATCAAAAAACCTTTGACAAAGAGCCGTATGATGCTCTTTAAGATCTTCCTAGAAGAGCATGCTCGATTGTTCAGCCAACTTGCAAAATGACTTAAATATTTTAGCGTTTTGTAAATTGCCGAAGTGAAAATTTGAGTTATTTTACGCACCGACTCTAAGATGTACACACAATATGACAAGCAATGCTCATGAGAAATCATTAGTTTGTGTTTCAAGTCAAAATAGTGTAAAGGAAAATCGTAGAATACCAAGAAGTGACTTATCAAAACTTCGTCTCCATTACCGATGCGACCCCTAAAGACGCCCGCATTTCCTTATGAAGCCAAGACAAAACTGTATTTCATTTTTGTTGATCAAAGTGACGATACGCCCTTATATCAATAAAAGCGACAAATGTGCTTTTTGTTTGCATAGGTCGCGAACTAGTCGAAACTTCTGGGATATCATCCTGGTATCCACGGGGAAAAAACAATAAGAAAGACAACATCCCGTCCCCGAGAATTGTCAGAGATCAGAGCTTTTTTTAGCGAAAGTTGACTATTAGAATGTTGAAATCACCCCTCTTGTCATACATCTTCCCGAGGCTAGGGATGTAACTACCTATAAAAGTCCAGTTTCCGCCCTTGCCGAACTAGGCTGGAATTATGGAGTTATATGTTGGCTGGACAAACGAGTCTATGCATAGTCCAATCAAAATCGCGTAACGAAATCAACACCCGGTTCGTAAACTGCCGTGAAGGTTTCAGTCGATTGCAGGATTTGCAAAGCATGTTTACTGTCAACTTAGCGTCAACAGCCATTTTCCAAATCTTTTCATGTTTTTTTCAATAAAGGTGCTCACGTGATTTGAAGCACTAAGCGAAGTAAAACCCATTTTGATCTTGATTTTCGATAAGATCGTCATCACTGGGTGCCGCCATTTTGTTTGAAGCAAATGTAAGTAATTTCAGAGGTGGAATCTGATTTGTCAATAGGAGGGACTTAGAAGGGTCATAACTCGTAATAGCCACTGGTAGCGCTACGGTCGAGCCAAGAATTTCCAGCTTAGTTCGGCAAGGTTAGAAACTGGACTTTTGCAGTCAGTTAACTCTCTTGCCTCGCGGGGGGCGGTCGGGTAGCCTAGTGGTTAAAGCGTTCGCTCGTCACGCCGAAGACCCGGGTTCGATTCCCGACATGGGTACAATGTGTGAAGCCCATTTCTGGTGACCCCCGCCGTGATATTGCTGGAATATTGCTAAAAGCGGCGTAAAACCATACTCACTCACTCACTCACTCTTGCCTCGCGAATATGCTTGTCATACAGAGTACATGGAGAGTCTTCTATATTGTGTGTCATCGTACCCCAACGGTGTGGATCCTTTGTTTGGTTTGTCTGGCCCAGACTAGAGTAAAAAGACCGCAGTGGGAAAGCTGAAATAAAGCTGATTGTGATGTTGACAGACAAATAGCAAACAACGAGAAATCTTTCAAAGATATTAATCTCCTATTGAACCAATATGTCATGAAGTCTTTACGAAAAGTGGATTGGATGACGTATATGCAGTTCGGCGATATATAAGTTAATATGTAGCAAGTATACTTGAAGGGTGCCCTGCATTGAATATACCATGTCAGCGGGTACTTTTGTTTAACCTCTCACCCCCTGAGATAAATAAATGGATGATACAAATATACCCTTAAAAAAGAAACGCAATACGGATATTTTTGGCCATAAAAGCAAAATTAGAGGGCCAAGAGCTGCAATATGAAGGGGTTTAATGTGTTTCCCGAATCAAAATGATCACAACAAGGACATGCAAACCATTAGTCGGGAAACTCGTACGATTCGGAAAAAACGCACCCAGTGCATTAACAAAAGGGACACAGCACTATGGACGGTATTAAAGTGCATGGCTTTTGATTGCCTGGCATCTGCGTCAATCGAACAGTGACAGTTCAACAACATGCCAAGATTAACAGGAGTGCAAAGAAACAACGTCATAGGCCGCTTGCAGGCAGGGGATTCCCGATCAGCTGCAGCTAGGGTTTTCAATGTAGCGGCCAGCACCATCACAAGGCCATGGGATCGGTTTCAACAGCATCGGCCAGCACGTGATCGGCAAAGGTCAGGAAAACCAAGAGTAACAAGCTCCGCCCAAGATCGCTTCATCCGACTGTGCCACCTATTTGAAAGGACGACCACAGCCACCTCAACCGCAAATATCCGGACTGCGCAGTATCTCCGACCAAAACGTACGAAACCGTTAAAGAGCTGCAGGTCTACGAGCAAGACGCCCTGTTCGACGCGTCATATTGAGTCAACAACATCGTCAACAACGACCGCATTGGTCACATTTGGTGTCGTCAACACAGAGTATGGCCTCAACTGCGATAGAGAGATGTCCGGTTCAGCGACGAATCAAGATTTCTCCTCCGTCGAGGGAATGGAAGAGCACGGGTCTACAGACGTCGGAGAGAACGTTACGCCGGAAACTGCGTACAGGAAGTGGGCAGGTTTGCCGGGGGTAGCGTTATGATGTGGGCGACTACCTCTCATCATGGCAGGACAGGTTTGGTCCATATCCAGGGCAATCTTACGGCTCAACGATACATCAACGAAATTCTGCTACCACACGTCCTCCCAATTGCAGCCAGCAGCAACGGTGTATTCCAGCAGCACAGATCACAAGAGCCTGTCTACACAACAAGAACGTTGATGTTCTCCCCTGGCCCCCCAGATCCCCGGATTTGAACCCGAGAGAGAACCTGTGGGATGAATTGAATAGACGGCTACGCCGACGTCAACCACAACCCCAGGCGTTGCAGCAGTTGGCTTTTCCGTTGCAGGCCGAGTGGGATACCATTCCCCAGGATGTGATTCGCATACTTGCCTCTCCCATAGGCAGGAGATGTCAGGCCGCTATCGATTCCAACGGGGGACATACGCGTTATTGTTCGCAGCTGACCTTCACCTTGGACTTTTCCTTTGTACCTATACCTGAGATGACTACAATCACCAATTGTTCTCTCAACAACATTTTGGCTCAATACCATATACAGTTCCTCGTATAAATGCATTTCCTACCTCACACAAATCTGGCCTTGTATTTCTTTTTATTGAAGAATACATATAGCAAATGCATAAGGTACTATATAGTGTTATGAGAATCCATTATATATGTTTATTTTATTTTCATGAAGAATATTTTAAATATATTTATTTTATATACTGAACAGTTTTGAAAATGCACCAGCAATAAATCTTGAAATATACTACTCACAAAAAGTTAGGCAACAAGTATTATTTTCCGTGCAACATTCTCATCAGTGTTGAATGCCATCCATTGAGAACAAATTCAGGCAGATGAATTACCTACGAATACTCGACTTAAAGCCTTTTCCATGTAGATTTTCCTGATAACACTGATAACATCGCCTGAATACAACCACCCTCAAAACACACATGCAAAATGCACGACATGCATGTTTTACACACTTCACCCATGCACCCTGATTGCTTAAAAACTGCCAGCAAGGGCAATTTGTAGACATGAACACTTAAGACATGGCTAGGCGTCACTTAACGCCAACTGAGGTTGCTCAGATTGTTGGAATGGTACAGGGGGGTCTCACCCAAACTGCTGTTGCCAATCATTTTAATGTTCACCGCAGTGTCATCTCAAGAGCGATAACTCGATACCATCAAACTAGACTGATGACAGAGAGACCACGCACAGGTCATCGAAGGGTGACTCCTCGTGAGGACCGGTATTTAGCCACCCAAGCCCGGGGAAACAGGTTTACTACGGCCAAATCTCTCCACAATGACCTTCAGAGAGTTGCAGGAAACAGAGTCTCAACACAGACAGTAAGAAACAGACTTCACGCTCAGGATCTGAGGTCCAGACGACCAGTACGACGTATCCCACTGCCTGCACACCATCGACAACAGAGACTTGCTTGGGCCAATCAACGCCGTAACTGGAGGGTCAATCGCTGGCGTAACGTTCTCTTCACAGACGAGTCAAGATTCTGCCTTGACTTCAACGATGGTAGGGCACGTGTGTGGAGAAACCGTAATGAACGATACGCCAACTGTACAATTGCTGAACACG